CCCCAAAACCCCAAAACCCCAAAACCCCAAAACCCCAAAACCCCAAGTTATATAATAATTATTGAATAATAACTTATAAAGTTTATATAAGATGTTCACTACCAGACTTTTTGCAAAGACTTTGCCAAAGTTTGCCAAGCCAACCTTGACTGCCAGAGCTATGTCTACTGGACTGTCCGACTTCCCAGATCTCTTGAAGGTTAATTATCATGAGGAATTTGACCAAGGTCTCACCGATGCTGAAAAGGCTAAGATGAAGAGGGTTGACATCTACAGATCAAACCCAAGCGATCCCGAAGATATCCCAAAATACGTTACTTACTACATCAACAGAGATGAATGCGGCCCAATGTTCTTGGATGCTCTCATCAAAGTCAAGGATGAGATAGACCCAACCCTATCTTTCAGAAGATCATGCAGAGAGGGAATTTGTGGATCATGCGCTATGAATATGGACGGAAGACACCACCTCGCCTGTCTGTGCTCTCTTCCAGATAATAATGAAAAGAGTGTAATTTCTCCTCTCATGGGAATGTTCGTCCTCAAAGACTTGGTTGTAGACATGACTCATTTCTATGCCCAGTATAAATCAATCGACCCATATTTGAAGAGAAAGACACCCAAAAAGGAAGGAGAGAAAGAGTATTACCAGAGTATCGAAGACAGGAAGAAGCTTGATGGACTCTATGAATGTGTGCTCTGTGCATGCTGCTCAACCTCATGCCCAAGCTACTGGTGGCATCCACAGGAATACCTTGGACCAGCTGTCCTCATGCAGGCTTATAGATGGGTGATCGATTCAAGAGATGAATACACAGAGGAAAGACTCGAGGCTATTGGTGGAGACATGAAGCTTGATGAGTGCTACCAGATCGGTATCTGCTCACTTGCCTGTCCAAAGCATTTGAACCCAAGAGAAGCTCTTCAAAGCCTTAAGGATCTATACTTAGAACACAAAGAGAAGAAAGAGGCAGAGGAAGGATTCTAATTTCTCGATAAAATTGTGAAATCTAAAGGAGATCAACCTACTATTTTACAGCACATTTCCAATGTGGTTCTACCTAACTGGGGTTTTGGGGTTTTGGGGTTTTGGGGTTTTGGGGTTTTGGGGTTTTGGGG